GCAGCATGTCTTCTCTTGCTTTTTTTGACTTAGCAGCGAGAGCAGTGTCAGCGAACACAGAGTGAGGTGTCCTGTACAGAGACTCGGAGTTAGTTCCAAAGGCAATGTCCGATGCAAGGTCCTCTGGGTTACTTAGACAGGGAAAGCTTTCTGCAAGCGCTCCTGCAAATTTCCAGGTGCCTCCCGACCTTCGTGCGCCTCCACCCATGACCAACCCTGTAGGATACAAACCCGGGCTGCAGTGGATTGTCCGACCTGTGTCCAGGAGATACTGCGGGCCATCTGTACAGCAGCAGTCCTAAAGGATATCTTCCAACGACCGTTCCCTTGGTCTGTGTAAATGCCCACAGTACTTGGTAGCATGCTTTTGACACGTTCGTCCACTGTGGAGTTCAACTTCGCGTAGACCCGGTCGTATGCCTTGGTGAACGCCGTGGATTTCCTGTCCTCGTCCTTTGTCTTGGCACGGCGGGCTTCGTGTCCTTTTTTCCAATGGTCCTTGTCCAGGTCCTGGACAGCTTTTTTGTACATCGTGCTGACCTTGGGCCGTAGAGCCTGAGCCGAAATCGTGGAACGTCGTTTGCTGAGTTCCTTGAGTGCCTCGTCCTGCTCCCCGATGAGTAAGGTGTCCCGAACCACTGCTTCTAAGTCTTTGTCGTCCACTTCTGGCATCCACTTCTCTGTCTCGTGCCTTGCGACGACTCGCATCACGACTTCTTCTTCGATCAAGGAGTTGTCCACATTCAGCATAGCTGCAACGGCGAGTTGATGTCCGGCTTCTGTCCCTGGGGTCTGTGTTGCTGTCCAACCCATGTGCTGGCACAACCTTCGTAGTAGTGCCTCCGAACAGGAAGCAAAACCGTGCCCAGCGTGGAAGTCCAGCATGTTCAACTTTGTCTTTACCAGATGAACGATGCCATTGTTCAACTGGCTGCCCTGTGATGAACGACCTGACTTGGTAGTGACAGTAGGAGCATGAGTGCTGGCAGTAATGCTCCTACTGTGCTAGCAACAGTACTAATTACTATTAGTCCTAGTACTGGAAGTAACAGCAGAGTCGCAAGATAACTCAACGATTGATTTAGGCTTCCCTTGGACCCCTAAGAATTGAATATCTACTGAAAATCGTGGCCAGGGGGCGTAGAGGTGAAACAGGCACCAGGTCCAGGACCTCCATGTCCACCGATGTCGCATGCAACCAGAACAATGAGGTAATGTCCATGTCGAATTTGAAAAACTCCTGATTGTTGTCCCTGACGATGTGTCCAGGCCAAGCTAGTGCAGCCAAACGATAGGTTCGAACGATGAACAGAGGGCTTTGACCAACAAGCACAGCGTGTCCTTCGGGTAGGAGTCCAGAGCACCAGCCTTCCTCGCACAAGGACCAACGTTTCGCCCGCCAAGCTTTCATGAGCAGTGCAAATCCTGCGAGAACCTCCTGCTCCTCTGAGTGGTTGTGCGATACCCAGTCGCGGTTCTTCGTGACCCCTGCAAGGAGTTCGGCCTCCTGGATCTCTGTGTGGCTGAGCTGTGAACTGCCCGACTTGCTGGAACGACGTGTCCGCTGTGTCAGCTTCTTTGCGGCAGACTTGCTAAAGAGGGTCTTGGTGTCGAAATCCACCGGGGTGTGGTGCAGCTGCTTGCTGCTTGCCTCCTGGCGATTGTACATCTGGAGTAAGCCCGACGAGCTGACAGATGTCCAACCGTCCAAGTGGCCTAAGTCCTTCGCCGTCCCGTGTCGCTGCTCTGCCTCGCGTTGTACTTTGTTGCAGTCCTCAATGATCTTCGTGTTCAACAGTCCAGACCAAATACTCCGGAGAACGTGGTCCACGTCGCGTGTAAGTGTCTGAAACCTTGTGGTTTCCAGCTCTGCGAGGATGTACTGCGAGATCTGTCCATTTGCGAAGTGACCTGCGAGTAGTTGTTTCGCCATACGTGAACCACTTGTCTGTGTGTCTCGGATGCAAGCAGCCATCTCCTTGAAGTAGTCCAAGCTGGATCGGCTGTACCCTGGCTCCCTGTGCACCAGTCCTGCAGTAGCACCGAAGCCACCTGTATGGTACAGCTGCGCCCCAGAGCGCAATCGCAAGATCTGATGAGTCAATCTCGTCATTTGCATGGCCAAGGAGTCCTGCCAGAGGAGTTCATCCTCCTGTGGGCTTTGTCTACGTGCGAGTGAAAGGTCGAATCCGATGCGTGCCAAGGTCTCCAAGTCACACAAGGTCCTCACGTGCTCCTTCGCCGTCGTAATCCAAGACCAATGGCTCCATGAGGAGTAATACTCCAACGTGGCTTCACTGGAGCGCAGCTCCTGGAGCATCTTCGAAGACCGAAGCTGCTCGGGTTGTAAGACGTGGAATATCATCCTGGCGGTCGACTTGTTCTCCGGCACAAGCATGAACTTCGTCATCATGTGTAAACTGTTTGTGTTGCTCTGGCGTGCTTGGTTCATGCTGTCCTTTGCCTCCTTCTGAGCCGACGTCTTGCTTCCACTGTGTGTTAGCGATGCACGAGCCATGTTGCTGTCCGGTGAGAAGAGGTCCGCGGCGGTGTTTGTCCATTTGTTGACCACGCACAGCACCGTGAGAACCAAGGCGAGGACCGACCACTCTTTGTCCAATGCACTGTGAGCTGTCGTTAGCGAGTTGAAGCGACTCTTGCTGGCCTTCGTGCCCTTCGTGCGGATGCAGTCCATGTCCGGCAAGTTTTGCAACCATGTCCTCCGTGTGTCCTCCGTGTTCTGGTCCTGCGACATGCCTGCGTCCATCAATATGTCTGGGAAGAACATGAGCAAAATGGGGTCCGACGGCGACATGTTGTCCTTCATGTGTTGGGCAGTCTGCTGGATCTTCTTCGACCAGGTTCCCTTCTGCCAGGGTCCGTACCTGATGTTGTACAACGAAATGGACCATTGAGCGAACTTGAGTAGTCCAGCGCCAGATAAGGACAAACATACATCGTTGTGAGACCGATGTGCTGGGTCCGACACGTGCTCCACCCAAAGGCCTTTTTTGTTCCTGAGGTAGGCGACCGCAGCGAGCTGTGTGGCTTCCTGGTCTGTACAGAGAACCATGATTGGGGCTCGGGTCTGTCCTGTCTTGTCCTGCTTGTGAGTGTCCTGCTGGTCCTCGCGCTTGCTCTGACACCGTCCGAAAGACCATCCTAAGGGTTTCAGTCCATGGTTCATGTCCTCCATCCAGTCCAGTGTCGCCCGCCTTTGTGGTTCGTCCATTACACCGTGCGAACGACGAGTTGCTTGCTCGCCGAGAAAGGATGTGGATGTTTTGCCCCACATCTCTGTCCATTGTTCTGCTGTCAAGGATGACGAAGCCTCCTCGACCTCTGCATGCAGGACTTTTCTGAAGGTGTCCAAACAAAACAGACATATTTCCATCTTATGATAATTATGATTTCTGGGAGTTCGAGGCCTCATGGGGCTCACGGAAAAAAAGGCGTTTTGGGAACTTAGGCGGGGATAGGCGTACCCTTTTTGGGGGCCAAAATGGGCCACTTTTCGCGCAAAACGGCCCCCGACCGTGCCCGGGGAACTTCGGCAAGGCTACGCGTACCTCTCTGGGTCTGAATAACAGTAGAAGGCAAAGGGGAGCTTTTCGAAGCCCATCTCCCAAAACCGGACCGAGGCGGGGATACGCGTACTTCGGGTTTGTATAAATTACAATTAACGCGGTTCCGGAAAAC